CTGAACGGGGTGAGAATAGCTTGAGCTACCTCATCCCTTTGTGTGTATTTTACATTAATAAACTTATTTCAATTTCAATTTCAATTCAATTTCAACTCCTTGCACGTTGTTGAAGAGTACGTAATTGCTTGAATGGCACTCTTGGAGTCACTGCAGATTGTATATATTTAAGAGAATGTCAACGTCAAAAACAGAAAATAAACCGATCAATAAACACGTTCTCTTTCTTAACAACAAAGAAAACGGAAGGTTAATCAGCCCAAACTCATCTAAAGTACCATGACGTGATTCTTTACACTTAACAATCCCATAAATAATCATTTATTATTTATTATTACTGCATAATTACCACATATTTATTTTTACTGCATAAAACTATTAATGACGATCTTTTATCTTCATTTTAGAAGTATATCGTGCGTCGAATGTATAGAATTTATAGTATTTGTTGTTGTTGTTTTAGATTCAGCTCCTCGGAACAAAAGTTCCAAGTAGCACGGGCTATGGTGAGCCCGCAGTAGATCTATAGTCTAGTGTAGCTGCATAAATGCAAATGAATCTAAATACATTAATAAAAGACCATTCCCAGACTGAACTCTCCTTGATGGCCCGAACAACGCCCACAGACCTGACCCACGCCCATAGACCTGATCCACGCCCATAGACCTGATCCACGCCCACGGACCTGATCCACGCCCACGGACCTGATCCACGCCCACAGACCTGATCCACGCCCACGGACCTGATCCACGCCCACGGACCTGATCCACGCCCACAGACCTGATCCACGCCCACAGACCTGACCCACGCCCATAGACCTGATCCACGCCCACAGACCTGATCCACGCCCACGGACCTGATCCACGCCCACAGACCTGATCCACGCCCACAGACCTGATCCACGCCCACGGACCTGATCCACGCCCACAGACCTGATCCACGCCCACGGACCTGATCCACGCTCATGGACCTGTCCCACCGCACCTCCCTACCAGTTATGTGCTCAACTAGTGTACATATTTACCTTACATGGTGACTCCAAAGTGGATTTGTGGGTCAGTCGGGCGCCATTCGCCTGTCAGTCGTGTCATTGAGCGATGCTTGAGGCATCTGTCATCCCAGACGGCTTGTTTGACATCATGATTGACAAGGTGAACAGGTGAACAGTCTGGCTTTCCCTAAATGACTTTCTCCACACGTGTTGCGAGGCCTATTGCACTCTCCTTCACGCCCTTACACACACCTGTGGCCACTCCACACCTGCACGGACACATTTTCTATACCTGTCCGGACACACGCCACACCTGTACGGATACACGTCCTATACTTGTACATATGCGCCTGTACACACACACATACACATATGGGGCCTCATGGCTGAGTGGACAGCGCTCAGAAGTCATAATCCTAAGGGGCCCGGGTTCGATCCTCGGCGGAAACAAATAGGCAGAGTTGTTTTCACCCTGGTGCTTCTGTTCACCTAGCGGTAAACAGCTACCTGGGAGTTATACAGCTGCTACGGGATGCTTCCTGATGTGTATGTGTGCGTGTGTGTTAGAGAGAACTATATGTAATAGATATATTAGAGGAAAAAAATGGATTTTAGAAAGGCTGGGTCCAAGAGATCCTGCAGATACAAATAGTAAATACACACACACACACACACACACACACACACACACACACACACACACACACACACACACACACACACACACACACACACACACACACACACACACACACCAACATAACTATGAACAACACCTCGTTACCTCACAGCCTCCAAAACATAAGCCACAATCATCTTCAACCTGCCCGGGACAGTAGGTTAAGGTCACGAAGAGACGCGCCACGTTCTATGATGAGGTTGTTGGGGGTCATTCCAGAGGTCAGCATGTGTCTCTAGCACCACCAACCAGCGCAGGGGAGCGACAGGGCGCAGGGGAGCGACAGGGCGCAGGGGAGCGACAGGGCGCAGGGGAACCATCCGTTTAAGGAGGGTTGGGAAGCCTGAACCAGCCTTGATCCCCTAGCGAGTGTACTTCTTCTCTATCCCTCTTGACGGGGATAGGGAGGCTTGGAGGATTGGTGTAGGACAGAAAACCGTGAAGTGACGTGAGTGTTGGTGGGAGACAGTAGCGTGGGTGCTGCTGAGAGTCAGTGACGTGGGTGCTGCTGAGAGTCAGTAACCTGGGTGCTGCTGAGAGTCAGTAACGTGGGTGCTGCTGAGAGACAGTAACGTGGGTGTAGCTGGGAGACAGTAACCTGGGTGCTGCTGAGAGTTAGTAACGTGGGTGCTGCTGAGACAGTAACGTGGGTGTAGCTGGGAGACAACAGATATCAAAACGGATATTTGTGCTGTGAACTTTGACCTGAAGATTCAAGAAACTGACAGATACAGGTTCAGGGTCTTTTTTCTTCAAATTCCAGCAAGGTTATGACAGGAATTTCTCTGATGTACAGATGCTGGCTATGTTTCTCTGTCTGTGTCCCTCTCTCTGCCTACCTGCCTGTGTCAGACCTGTGGGTGTTATGGGAGATCCTCGAGTCGATACAACCAAGAACTGGATTTACCGTTGGGTGATCTTTTGCCTTCATAAATCGTCTGAATCACATCATGAACAAAATGTTTATGTGAGTGTGTTCTTCCCCCTAAATTGTCCCCTCAGATGTTATGTGTGTGTGTGTCTGTTGTTCCCCTAAGCAATCCTATCATATGTTCTTTGGGTGTTCTTCCTCCTAACAATACCCTCCTATGTTCTATGTGTGTTCTTCCCTCAACCCATACCTCTACTTTCCTTGCTTGTTCTTCCAAGCAACCCATACTTCCATACTATGATTCGGTAAGTAAATTAAGTATAATCTTGTAATATAATTCTGTACTGTACCATGCATCCGGTAACCTGAAAGTAACACCATTCTGTATCCTGCTGTATTTAGGAAAATTTATACTAGTGTAGTCCCTAGAATATTGGTGTCATTTCAAGGTTGCGTATTCCTGTTACCAAAATGGCGTTGCACCTTATGATTCTGTATATAAATAACACAATGGTGGTGCCAAAGAGTGTCTTCGTAGTGTAGTTCTTCTGTGGCCGATATAGTATGCACTCTGTTACCGTGCCGTCAAGCAGTGTGTGTGTGTGTATGTGTGTGTGTGTGTGTGTGTGTGTGTGTGTGTGTGTGTGTGTGTGTGTGTGTGTGTGTGTGTGTGTGTGTGTGTGTGTGTGTGTTCCTCAACTGCTAGGAAGGTCACTCTGGAGTATAGTATTCTCGATCATTGATTGATTGATAAAGATTAGACCACCCAAAAGGTGACATGGGCATGAATAGCCCGTAAGTGGTGGCCATTTTGAGCCATTACCAGTATCAAGAGATCTGTGGGGGTGTGACTGCACCCTACGTGACGGGAGATGTCTCCCCCCGTGTTCTCGATCATCGATAAATATATAAGATATAAGGGAGGGGAATTGTCAAAACATAAATAGAACTTCGATGTTCGACGAATCTCGTTTTCCACTTGTCCGTATGTCCCGTTAAGTTAGGTTGCGTGTTAGGCTCGGTTGAGTTAGGTTAAGTTAGCTGGGTTAGGTTAGGTTTGTTTGGGGAAGGTTAGGTAGGTTTTAAAATCCGCTGGCGGACCATCTTGTGTACGATGTAGAGTGTAGATATATATGTCTTCGTCTAGTTTGCCTTCTACGGGAGCTACCTTGATCTTAACGTGGCCTCTTAGGGGTTATGACCTCCAGGGCCTTGTGTGGGGGAGGTCGGCCAGGCGGTGAAGCCAGTCATTACCCGGCCAACACCTTCAGCGTTTCACCCGATGAGCCGCCCCTCTCCAAGACTTCCTGGAGTGACAAGGTGTGCTGTTGGTCTGTGTGTGGGGGGCTCTGGGGGTCTGTCTGTGTGTGGGGGGCTCTGGGGGTCTGTCTGTATGTGGGGGGCTCTGGGGGTCCGTCTGTATGTGGGGGGCTCTGGGGGTCCGTCTGTATGTGGGGGCTCTGGGGGTCCGTCTGTATGTGGGGGGCTCTGGGGGTCCGTCTGTATGTGGGGGGCTCTGGGGGTCTGTCTGTGTCTGGGGGGGCTCTGGGGGTCCGTCTGTCTGTGGATAGGCTCTGGGCTAGCCCACCAGATTACCAGAATTATCTCAAAGAGAAACCAATTATACATTAAGTAAACATTGTTTGAAAACAGTGAAAACGGCATGAATATTTTTTTTAACTCAGTGGAACAGTAGAGAACAAGAATGGTGTACCGCACCTTCAGTCAAAGAGGAACCAGGACTGAGACATAGTCTAGTTAACGACAGAGACAGTCTCGTTAGAGACAGCGACAGTCTCTCCTAAGACAACCAGGACAAAGACATTCTTGCAAGACAAAGCCTTTATATAAGAGGTGATATAAGAGAGAAATACAGCTTTACAAAGCAACTGAGTTATTCTTAACTCTACGAAGAAGTCCAGTTCTATAATAATAATAATAATAATAATAATAATAATAATAATAATAATAATAATAATAATAATAAGCCGATATGTAGTAGAAAAATAAAATGGTATTTACATTAAAAAGGGAAGTGATGGGAGTGAACCAAACAATGCGGGTTCCTTACACACATTTATTCCGTTCCTAATTACTAAGGTTTCTAATTCCTGAGATTAAATACACCTCTCCAAACTTAACTAGGTTAGGTCTTAACTAAGACCTAACTTCACTAATACTAGTTAACCTTAACCTGAGAAAATCTATATAATGTTTTGTCAAACATTCGGTATTAGAACAACAGACAATACTAAGAACCACACGTAAACGCTTCTTAAATACATTTTAAACATTTATAGACCTTTCCTCGGTATTTTTATCTATAATTGAAATATTTCATCTTGCAATATATCGTGAAAAGAGATATATATTGAAGTGAATTATCACGATATTCACCTTGTAATATTTCGTGAATGGATATATTATATTATATATATATTCTATATATATATATATATATATATATATATATATATATATATATATATTATATATATTCAGATATATGAATAATGAGTTTAAAATCGTTAAATTATTCTTATGCGGTTCTTGATGTACAAGTTCAGTCTTTATGGTTTCTTGTGTTTATCACCTTAACTCTATTCTCAGTTAAACGAGGACGAGAAAGATGTATTGAGTGATATAAGAGAGAAATACAGCTTTACAAAGCAATTGAGTTATTCTTAACACTACGACGAAGTCCAGTTCTAGACTTTAAATTCTAGAGTCTCTGTACTCTACGTCACCCAGTACCGTACGTGGCTCAAGGCTCTAGCTAGTCCAGACGCTTTTAGACTTGCTGATACGTACGCTGAAGACTTTTTCCATTCCTCATATTGGACAGTTTGGGACAGGAAGCTGTCTTCAGGAGGAGTGTTGTCTTCGGCTCCAGCCGGCTGAAGGAATGACTTGAGTTGTTCTGGATGGTTGCCCTTCAGAAGAGACACAGACTCTCAGCCCCTGATGGTGGGATTGAATATGAGTGCGTCAGACGACGGTGATGCCTGAGTGCCTCAGACGACGGGGGGGGGGGGTGTGAGTGCCTCGAACGACGGGGGGGGTGTGAGTGCCTCAGACGACCGTGGCGCGTGAGTGCCTCATACGACAAAAGCCCGTGAGTGCCTCAAACAACACTGATATAAGAGTACCTCAGCCAATGATGGGTCTAAAGGTGCCCCGGATGATGGCAGAGCAGGTGGGACAGGCGTCGCGAGGCCTGGCACAGGTAGCACACAGGTGGAGGTGGGAGCAGGGCAGGAGCACCACGGCCCGACGCCCTACCTTACACACCCGACAGGTCAAGCGCCGTTCCTCCTCCGTCACACGTTGCTGCAGCTCCTTCACTGTCAGGATCAGATAGTCTCTTTCAATAGGGTCCTTTCAGAAGGAATTAATTAATACTCTCTCTAGGAACTGGTGAACTATACTCTCTCTAGGAACTGGTGAACTATACTCTCTCTAGGAACTGAGGAACTAATACTTGAGATTATTGAAGGATTCTTGAGTTAGTAATCTTCGCATATATATCACTTTTGAAAAAGGTTATCACGTATGAAGGACAAATCCACTAAAATATTTTATAAAAATACATTTTTATGAATGTATATATATGTATATAATACATTAGGATGTATATAAATGTATCTAAATGTATATATATATACCCACCAAATGGTGGTACCCTCACAAACTTTTTTTTATAAATTGTTTAATTATTTTTTTTTTCAAAAAAGGTCTTCAGTATCTGACCTTTTAATAAATAGCAAATTTGAAGACCAAATGTTAATGAATGTTGACTATATATATACAAATCCGAGTTGTTGAGGGTAAGAGGGCAATAAGTCATGTGTGACAAACTCACCCTTCTGCAGAAGGGTCAAATAGTGGGCTGTGTCATGTGTGTGTGTACTCATCTATTTGTGCTTGCTGGGGTTAGGCTTTTGCTCTTTGGTCCCGCTTCTCAACTGTCAATCAACTGGTGTACAGATTCCTGAGCCTACTGGGCTCTATCATATGTCTCTATCTACTGTGTGTGTGTGTGTGTGTGTGTGTGTGTGTGTGTGTGTGTGTGTGTGTGTGGGACTCACCCTCCTGCAGAAGGGTGTGGTAGTAGGCTGCATCGTGGCCGGTGGTAGCTACCTCCTCCATGGGTAGGACCTCCTGCTCTAAGGACGAGTTCTACCCCGCAAAATTATCTGTTAGAATGCATCATCTCCTGCGGGAATCTTCCCTACATTACAACCTTCGATGTAATAAAGCAGTATTCCCATCACTAACAATTCTTATTGATATAGCATTACTTTCTCAAATAAAAATATCATTGTCCATTAGAGGTTTGTTTGAATAAGTTTATGATGCTTGCGAGTATTTTATTGAGACAGAACCTTTTCTTGAGGACATACAAAACATTGGACACATCCACAAAACAATTGTTCTTCTGCATGGCAAATATACGTCTAAATCTAATCTGCAAATATTATGATAAATGATTGCTTGTATTTGCATCAAAATCAGCCATTCAGTCCGGGTTCTAGAGCTATAACTGTTTCACAGATTAATAGACGTTCAGACAAATTTGGAAAGAGAAGCAAATTATCCGGCTTTGAAATTATTGACAAATTATTCGTGTCACGAAATTAGTGAAAAATTATTCGTATTTTATCAAGTTCGAAACATCTTTCGTGTTTTTCAATGATCGAAACGTCAAAGCTATTATGTTTAAAAACGCAAAAGCAGCTTAAAATGTTAATATATTATAATTTTGTGCATAATTATACCTAAAGTAGGTTATGTTATATTTTATATATAGCATATTGTATATGCAGTTAATTTGTGAAGCATTTCTAAAGAATTGTGAACGTAATCAGTTGAATGTGTAAAATTTTTGCCTCATAAGCGGTGAAGGGATTACGACTTCTGGTATATCAACGATCATTTGGCAAATATTTTGTGGATGGACTGAATGAAGCAAACTTAAGTTCAACATTGGGCCTGGCTGAGCTCACCTCTGGGACCTGAACGGAGGAGCGCTGCAGGACGGACGCTGCGTCAGACGCAAGTCTCTGCTGTGTCTGCGTCTCCTCGTATTCGAACACCAGCTCAAGGGCGTCGGTCACTGTGCGACACAACGTCCCACTCTGCTCCACCAGTAGACGGAAAGCTTTCTTCACTGACGTTCTCGACAGACCCATTGCAATCAGCTTCTGCGAAATACAGTTAATTCGTCATAAATTAGCTGAGGTTCCATTCTTAACTTGCGTAACTGTTGCAAAAGACATTAATTTACGTTTGAGCAACATATTTGACAACTGACTTCATTGCTCTGTCAAATAATATATTTAACAATCACACGATAGGATTTATTTGCATAATTAGCTCGGTTTTGAATAAAGATGTAATGTAATACAGGTGAAAGAGGTCATCTTAAGGAAGGCTATCCATTATGTTATCACTGATGTAGAGATCAAAACTGCAGAACCTGCTCCTCCAAGAACACATACAGGTGACCATTTTTTTAAAGTAAAAAAAAAAAAAAAAAAAAAAAAAACTCATGCAGAACTTGTTCATGCAGAACTCTCCCAACACCAACAACAACACCTTGAAAGAGTTGAACGTTGCCTATGCTCAAAATATTCCCACTTGAGGACTGCCACACCAACGTTCTCAGTATAGATAAGACGTTATCATCTCTCTCAAAACGTCTAATAATGCTTAAACGACAAGATTATATAATCCACATATATAACCACAATAACATAATAATAGGTAGATATAGGCGACAAAGACTCACTACATCTTGTACCTTAGCAAATGGATGAGCGAGGAACAGGTTGGCCTCTTCTTCAGATAGGAGGATGGGTCTGATAATTGCCGAGGGAGGAATGTTGTCATCTTTCATCCTGGAGATGGTGTCCTTTCCCTTCTGTGTCCTGATGAAAGGACAGCAGGGGTAGTAGCGGGCATGGTCGGTGGCAGGGTCGTCACCCTGGCGCCAACAGAACAGTCCGCCACCGCAGTGGAAGCATTGGACCCAGTCGGAGATCCCAGTGTAGAAGAAGCCAGCAGCTACTAGAGCATGAGTGCTGATCCCGACCTCAGCCTCCCAGTTAGTGAAAGTTTGCTTCCGGGAGGCGTCGGTGTTGAACTGTGGGTAAGCCAGCTGGCCGACGTCCACCTGTGCGTCGTCTGTACGAGAAATTTAAATTGAAATTGAAATTGAAATAAGTTTATTGAGGTAAAATACACACAAAGGGATGAGGTAGCTCAAGCTATTCTCACCCCGTTCAGTACATCGTGTTAATACATACATAGACACACATCACAAACAATAAACATATTACCGAACATTCTGAGAGATAAACATCTACATTTCCTAAGTACGAGAAGGATAGAGTTATGAAGCATGTTCCCTCCGGTATATTATTATTTTTTTGAGATATATACAAGACTTGTTACATTCTTGTATTACCCAAAGCAAGGCGGGCTTTCACTACCTCTGGGAGGGCCTTATTGTCCCGCCTAGTGTCAAGGGAACTGGGGGGCTGACGTGTCCCAAGTGACCATGCAAAATTATATAGACAACTTTCACTACAAGTGTCTTTTGGTAACAATAATAGCAATAACATTTCTACAACCATAAGTCCATATGTCAAACAGATACAGTGTTATATATACAGAAACAAAATAATTCAGTTATACCTAAAGAGGTGGAATACCTAACATTAATTCAGAGTCAAACATTATTAATAGACACAATGTATGTGTATAGATTGATCATACACCACTTGAGTTGATCAAGTGGTTGCAACAGTCAACGGTAATACTGAACAATAACTCCAGGTCTCGTGAGAGATGTTTTCGATTCCCTCAGTAAGGAAATTTTAATGCGTTTCATATGTAGATTTTGCTTTGAAGACATAAATTTAGAACAGATCAAGGCCGGTCGTCGCTGAGCAGGTCGGCTTCTCAAGGTAAACTACCAGTCTTAACCCCTTTATGCCTTATGCACTCTAGCCACCGTTATAATATTATTGATATATATTATATTATATATATTATATTATATATATATATATATATATATATATATATATATATATATATATATATATATATATATATGTCGTACCTAGTAGCCAGAACGCACTTCTCGGCCTATTATGCAAGGCCCGATTTGCCTAATAAGCCAAGTTTTCCTGAATTAATATATTTTCTCAATTTTTTTTCTTATGAAATGATAAAGCTACCCATTTCATTATGTATGAGGTAAATTTTTTTTAATTGGAGTTAAAATTAACGTAGATATATGACCGAACCTAACCTACCCTACCTAACCTAACCTAACCTATCTTTATAGGTTAGGTTAGGTTAGGTACCCAAAAAAGTTAGGTTAGGTTAGGTTAGGTAGGTTAGATAGTCGAAAAACAATTAATTCATGAAAACTTGGCTTATTAGGCAAATCGGGCCTTGCATAGTAGGCTGACAAGTGCGTTCTGGCTACTAGGTACGACATATATATATATATATATATATATATATATATATATATATATATATATATATATATATATATATATATATATATATATATATATATATATATATATATATATATATATATATATATATATATATATATTTGATTACATACATAGACACCAGTGATTTTATGTATTGGTCCAATTATTCTTCGAATTATTACTGTTCACGGTTCGAATCCCACTCGAAGTGCTTGACGTTTGTCTCTTTCAGATATGAAACGCATATTTTTTTGTGTACCTCTCTGGATAAGCATATGAGCGACGGTCTTGTCGAGTTGAATTAACATCATTTTTTGTGAAGTGTGGAAGTGAGTCTATTTTCATTAGAAGCAGCTTTAATCCTGGCGTCCTTGTTAGAGTTGAGAGACAGATGACGTCCAGAGAACATCTGCATATTTTGCCCAGAAACCTGAACCAAGAAGATCAGGTTCAGTTACAATCTGGGTTCCTGACAGAAGCACCAGAATGGCACCTCCAAATGTTTAAATGTTTAAGACGGCGCATTACAAGGAAGGGTTTTCAATAACCATTACAATAACGAGACTTAATGACACTTTTGTGGTATAATTAAAAACACAATTTAAAAGCGGAAGCTGCGTAATCTGAAGGAATTGAGGAAGCTGTTCAATAAGAAACTGATGAAGGTCTTCAAGACGAAACTGAGGAAACTTCAAGACGAAACTGAGGAAACTTCAAGACGAAACTGAGGAAACTTCAACACGAAACTGAGGAAACACTTCAAGAAGAAAATAAGGAAACTCTCCAAGAAGAAAATAAGGAAACACTTCAAGAAGAAAATAAGGAAACTCTCCAAGAAGAAAATAAGGAAACTCTTCAAGAAGAAACGACCATTAATCACTATTAAGAAGTGCCTTAAGGTATATGAAGCACCATCCATAACTTATCTGAGCCAAATGATGGGCAACGAAATGTTGATTGCTGGAAAGTGAATAAATATGTTATGTGTACTTTGCAATTTGCCTTTAGGCATTTGCAATTATATATAAACAAAAATGGCTTTCTTACAAGCACAACTGATAGCTTTACACTTGTTCAAGTTGCCATCGATTTATACAACAAATGCTGTATATACATACTAGTATATTGGAGGTAAAGTTTGTTGTATTGGAACGAAGGTAGAAATAAATCTGCGTTTATGTTGTTGTTGTTATAGATTCAGCTACTTGGAACAAGTTCCAAGTAGCACGGGCTATGGTGAGCCCGTAACTTACCTGGCACAGGAGCGGGGCAAGTAGCACGGGCTATGATGAGCCCGTAACTTACCTGGCACAGGAGCGGGGCAAGTAGCACGGGCTATGATGAGCCCGTAACTTACCTGGCACAGGAGCGGGGCAAGTAGCACGGGCTATGATGAGCCCGTAACTTACCTGGCACAGGAGCGGGGCAAGTCGCACGGGCTATAGTGAGCCCGTAACTTACCTGTCACAGGAGCGGTGCTCGCGCTACGTTTATGCCTCACCTTGATACTTATGGACCGGAGTCTTAGCGATGGGTCTGGTGCTGGTGACTCTGAAGGCGTGGTACTCGCTCAGGAGGCGAAAAACTCTCCCCGTGTCGTCGGCCGGGCATAGCACCGGAACGTTACCAGTGACCACGTCTCCGACGAAGGCACACTTCGGGAAGTGTCTTCGGTGCTCCAACTCCGGCTGGTCACCAGGGTCCCAGAAGCCCACGATGCCGTGGCAGAAGAAGCATTGGACGTGGTCCTTCTTCTGGATGTAGAAGAAGCCAGCTTTGGCCAGCTGGTCGGGGTCTACGAAGGCCACGGGCCAGTTAGCAAAAGTCTGGCGCCTCACACACTCCAGCAGGAGGGCCGTCTGGCAGTGGAATCGGCGCTCGCGACGCAGCTCAGCTGTGGCAGGGTAATGCACACAATACAAGGTGTGTAAATACAGGGTAAATACAAGGTGTGTAAATACAAGGTAAATACAAGGTGTGTAAATACAAGGTAAATACAAGGTGTGTAAAAACAAGGTAAATACAAGGTGTGTAAATACAAGGTAAATACAAGGTGTGTAAATACAAGGTTAGATAAAGGTGAAAATATACATCAAATGTTATGATAACAATTACAAAATAACCGAATTAAATGATTGAGGAGTCAATAATTACAGTAAAGCAAATAACACAATTAAACATCATTTATGACTTTATTAACAGTTACTCCCTCCAAGTACACGCCTCAACCCACTAGGACACGATATGCTACAAAAGTAATGTAACCAGGGATTCAAATTAATGATCAAGGGTTCCTGAGACATCTAACTTCTGATAACAAATTAGGATTTTACACATTACCGCCTTCACTCTGGCTATGGGAGAGGAACTCTAACTCCTAACTAACGATTCCCACCCTCCCAATGCCCTTCATATGCGTTGGAAGAACTACTTCATCTACCCACACCTTCCCGTGAAGCTTTTTTGGTTTCATGCGAACCAAAAAGTGTAACTGAGGCAATATTGACCCACAGGAGTGGCACAGTAACTCACGCGGTCGCTGCCGTGTGGACCACTGGAGAAGTTCCTCCATGAAGGCCGAACGCTTGCGGATGACGACGTGATATCCGGATAGCTGCAAGAGAAAGGCGCCTGTCACAAATGTGCTTCACCTCCAGGGTTTATATATCTTTTCTCTCACTTATATATTTATCCGTCCATATTCAAATATATGGCAAAGCCACAGAGGGAACGTATAGTCCACTGCAGCACGATATTGTAACGCCACTCGCTTGCGGGTTTCTGCAAGTGTGTGTTACAATTAAGGCTCGTGTTCTCTCATATCAGTGAATTGTGTCAATGAAAACGAACTTCTGGTTAATGACTAACTAATGCAATTGGGTCATTGGGGGAAATAGGGTAGCTGGAGTGTGTGTTTAGGCTGAAGACTGGATGTAATTATTTAAAAGGTTGGCGACGGTCTGCAGCAGAAGATGCCGCGAGGGGAGGGGGGGGGGGGGGAGTAGGAAGCCTGGGTACATAAGTTTCCTGTCCCAGACAGGAAAGGTTTATACTTTACGGTTGTATCGAGGGGTCTCCAAGGTTCGTTCCCGACTCGCAATCGGGAATTCCGGGTTCGAATTCAGGGCGAAACAGAAATGGTTGAGTTCGTTTCCTTTCACCTAATGCTACTGTTCGCCTAACAGTAAATAGGTACCCGGGAGTTAGTAAACTGTTGTGGGAGGCTGCATCATGAAGAAGGTCAGTAGTTCGACGTTGGGAGAATATCGATATAAACCTAACGTGTAACTATATCGTAGACGCCGTCCCCAACGAAACGAATCCTAACAGAAGCCTAACTCCCTGGTACCTATTTATTACTAGGTGAACAAAGCCATTAGTTGAAAGGATGTGAGCCCAACCATTTCTGTCTCGCACAGGAGTCGAACCCGAGATCCCAAATTGTGAGTCTAGAACGAAGCCAACTGTATACAGATATCAAGATTTTACAAGCGAAATGTCAGCAGTATGTCAGCCAGTTACGGTTGGGCTGTCTTGGGGCACCGAAGGTGGGTTTCTGAGAAGGGAATCACAAGGGAGAAGGGAAGGGAGGCGGGACCAAAGAACCGAAGCTCAACCTTCGCAAGTACAGCTAGGTCAGTACAGAACGCTTCAATATAAAATTCTAAGAATTAAATCATGTTATTCAAGGCTGATATAATGGCAAGCTCTTGAAGAGGTATAACGCTCTCGAGATAAGAGATGATAATGTGAACATGTCCAGACAGAGTTTCTCATATCGGTGATAATGCTGATTAGCTCAGTTTAATTCTCCCCCCCCCCCCAACCCCAAGTTCATCCGTCACTATCCCTAACCTCACCCCCACACTAGTCCTTCATCCATCCCTTCAACTTCATTCATCACAGAACCACCACGTATACCTTTTTCTTACCTCACAGTCCAACAGATTTGAGGTTTTCCCACCAAAACAATCAACACTGTCAGCATCTCTTATCTTCACGTTAATCATCACTCATTTTCCATTTTCTTTTCCGAAGTAGCCCTTTAACCCATTTTCTATTTGGTCGAGTTACAGCTTACATCTCCTCCTGCCTTCTGCTAGCAGCTGGCATTCACTACTGCCTATAGTCCCAGTTATTAATTAAAAACTTACTCTCCAAAGTTAACTGTCCGTACAATGAGAGGAGAATTGGTTATCGTTGAGACGACCAGGTAATCTAGTCTCCTCCATGCTACGTCTGACGGAACGGCCAACAATATTGTATCAGTCCCTCCTACTGAAATATTCTACAGGAATTTCTTTTTCACAGCTCTCAAAACGGAGAAATAGAGTCCCTGGAAACACAAACCGAAAGTGTCTCTATTTTTCGCTTGTTACAACTTGTAATAAAGTTGTTACATCTTGGCTTAACGTGTTTATGACGTATTAGAACGTTGTTACAACTTGTAATAAAGTTGTTACATCTTGGCTTAACGTGTTTATGACGTATTAGAACGTTGTTACAACTAGCTATATTGGTTGTTATAACTGGTTAGGAGGTGTTAAAACTTGTTTGAACGTTGTACCAACGTCGTAGTTTCGGTGTGTGTTTGGCGGGGTCCCGAAGACATTATTTATAAAACCATTACCCCACCGACATCAACCAGAAGATTGTGTTAATAATATACTATATGAGTAAAAAGAACGCTAACTTCCTTACCAAGAACTCTCCCAACTCCAAAAGAAACGCATTGAAAGAGAGGAATGTCATCTATGCCTTCACATGTTCACTTGGGGACTGTCAGCCCCAATAATCTCACTATACAGGAAAGACAACATCTCACTGAAGGTGCCTGATAATACACAAAGAGCAAGGCCCTGTCAAGGAAAATATAGTCTTTGCACACAACCAGATCATCACCAGATTGATAAACAACACACAAATTTTCGACATATATAGTGACAATATAATATTGGACATGACCGAGGCACTACAGATCAAGCAGGACCATCTAACTTCTCCAAAGGAGAATCTTCAAAGCACAAAGAACAAAGGACAATCTTCTCCAACCATCAACAGTCAGCTAACACCAGATTACACTCTGTCATCTTACAGACCAAGACGGAACACCACACATACCCCCCCAGCCAGCATTAAAACATAGGAGATGGGTATAAGCTGCAGTGGCCCTATTGGCCCATACGACACTTCACTCTCTGTTATATAATCTGTTGCTTCAACCAAACTGTTTTCACCACTACTCTGTCTTTGACAATGTTGACAAGCTCAGCGAAACGCATTAGTGTTCAGGGATGGAATTGTGCCACTTTACCTGCTAGGGTGAGTAGGGTGAGTAGGGTGAGTAGATGTCCAGTCATCACAACTACACGTAATTTTACATTAGCTTACCTGCTGGTTGGCTGCTGTATTTGTTGACTGACTGGCTGGGAAAGTCGACTGGGAGTTGGCTGACCGGTAGAGGCAGTGGAGCTGGTGTGTGGGCACCGTTGGTGAGGTGCCACTGACTTCACCTTTTAGGCTTAACTATCGTCCCCCCCCCCCCTCCCAGTCCTCATACTCCTCTTCCCATATCTCATTTTCTCATCTCATTTATCATATTCTATTTTGTTATTTGTCGCTTTAATGATTCTTTCTTTTTCCTTTTATATGTTCTTATGTCTACTTTTAATATCACATCATTCTGCTTGATGTGTTGGTTGATGACGAATTATCCACCATGTGTTACGGGCTCTAATTAGCAGACAATTGTCATTACTAATGACGTTTATTCCTAATCTTTATCAACGTCACTGTTAGCATACTAACATTCGACATTTTCACTAGTCCAGCCATTTATCACTGTTTATCATTATTGTGAAATCCCAAAGTGCTTCCGCGGCAAGGCCCTCGAACGGTGAGATGAAGGAAGCAACACTCAGGAAAGAAGTCTTAATTGCCTTCATCGCACTCAGACTTCTCATTCATTCACTTAGTATCAGTGTTATCGCTGGAGCCTCGCTGCTATCGAGAGACAACAACGTTTTTCTTCTCTAAAGATTACTGTCCGCCGCAGCAAATTTGCATCATATTACAAACCTATGTCTCATCAACTTCAATTTGACCCATATTGAAGTCTCTTTATAGGAGACTTTAAACACCTGTCTCACACCCTTTAATTCCCTCTTTAATTTAATTTCCCTAATTCCCTCACTTTAATAAGAATTAATTAAAATCCTCAGATTAGGCAAAATTGTAATTAATTTTGTCAATAAAGATGTTAATAATAAGAGATCCTCCCATATAAACATAATAGAGGGTAACTTACAAGATGGGAAATTAGTGTAACTAGTGAAGAGGGACTAACAGGCATTGGTTATCCCCCATTAACCTGTATGCTGGTGATATCAGTCCTTCTTGCTATCACAAGCTACGCAAATATGTATATAAAAGTAAAATAATGTTTGATAATAATTGAACGAAATAGTATTTTGTGTATAACTTAATATACAACTTTCACATGGAAAATTATCGTGTAAATTATTTATATGGAACATTGGACGAATATTACAACATGATCATTGTTGCATACATACATACTACAT